CAATAAGTCTTTGTATGCCCCAAGTCTTGGCACTTAGTGCATTGCACTATTATAGGCTTTTGTCTAGGCTCTTCAAATTTACTGGTGGAATATATAAGCCTCTTCACTTGGAAAATTTCGATGTTATTGCTGGCAGGCTCTAAATCGACGAAAAATAGTGGTAAAGGATATTTTTCCGTTGGGTGTAGTACGCATGATATGTGCCTAACATTATGACCTATTTCTTCTAGGCCACTTTTGATGAAAGATATTGGGGTGCTTGAGTGTAGTCCTCTTAACACCACTCGGTATGGCTTTTCTTGTCTTAATTGATAACAATGAAAATCATAGTTTTTGGACGTAAAGTAATTTATAAGTGCTTTGTAATTTTCTCGAGAGTTTGTGTTTATTTTGATATCATTAACTCTGGAGAAACATCGGAAATTGGTCTGTCCAATCAGACCGGCTATTTCTTGACCAAATGTAATGAAGTTATCGACTTTTGATATGAAAATAGGTGGCGGCTCGGGCTCAGAAAACTCTTGAGGCTCCAGAACTTTGCTTGATATTTTATTAACGGGAATAGGATTATTGGTGTTAGTGGTGATTGGTGCAGTTGGCTCTGATGTTATGGTAATTGATTTGCTTCTGGTTTGAGGTGGTGATATATTTTGCTCGGCTGATTGTTTAGTTTTAGTAGATTTACTTTGTTCAGTTGACTTTTTAGATTTATTTTGCTCTGCTAACTGTTTAGGTTTAGCTGATTTTTTTTTTTTCTTATTGGGTGAATTAGCTCCCGACCCAGGAGGAGTGTTTCGATGACGTTTTTGAAGTGTTCGTCTTTTTAAATACTGCGAATCTGTTTCGCTAACCTCAGAAAACGGCGTTTCGTCCTCCGAATCTTCACCTGACGAACTCTTATCTAAATTCATATCTTCCATATTATGATAAAAGAGAGAAAAAATATATATATTTACTCCTAAATATGATAATTAAAAAGATTGAAGATTACGAAATAAGCTATTAAAAAATAAACTTTATACATAACTATAATCAGAAATAAAAGAAAACATTTCTTAGAATAAATATTTAAATAAAAATAAAACAGTCTCTGGAAAAGAAAAAAAAAATAAATAAATAAAAAAAGTAAATATAATGTCTTGGGTTCGAACTGAAGACCTAATGACTGAAGGAAGTTAGTAAGCAGAGCCCCTGGCCGTGAACTTATCGGAGTATGATAAGGCACGTAAGGGAATTAACGGCCTCTCAATCTAACCAAATGAGCACCAATTTATCAATTGTTTATTGTTAATAAATAGTACTTCACCTGCGTGTACGTCAACGTAAAAGTGTAAAACTGTTTATTAACTCACTGTTGATTAAGTATTACACCACAACTTTGAATATTGAGCACATTACAAAGCAACAAATACAGAGCGACATGAAAGTTATACTGCACTTGCGGCCATGACACTTGCTACTACTTTTTAGAAAACTAAATTAGTGAATAATTCGATAGATCTTCTCTTTGTGATATTCCTCTACCATTTCATTGTACTTGTGTGAAAAAAGAAGTGAAATACAAAAATATTTCATAGATACGTTTATAACCCTAAATATATTTACTGTAGTTTAATAACTCAAGATCTCATAATATATTTAAATATTTAGATATCTATCGTCCGTTTATTCCGAAAAATCATCATGTAACCTTATAGAAAATTAAATTAGTGAATAGTTTGATAATTCTTCTTTTTGTGATATTCCAACAGAATCCACTTACAATTAGTGTGACAACTTTTGACCTGTCTATGACAGACACTGCAAATCTCTTAATTCCGTTTTAATAAACTTTGCAATGGAAAATAACAGTTTAATGACTTATAGTCGTACAATCCATAATCAATGGATCGAACAATCCATAATCAACGAATCGTACAATCCATAATCAACCGGTGATATAATAAATAGGACTTTTGTTATTTTAATAGCATTTGTGTTTTTTTAGCTTTAGCTCAGTTTAAAGTGCAATTTAAAACATTTTATAATAGCCTAACATGGCCAGAAAATAATTTTTATTCAAAGTTCAAAGAGTAAGTGAAAGTTGTGTGTTGCGCGCACCAGATTTTCTTAATAATGGTTGGGTCGGAACGAATAAGAAATTATTTTCTCTGCACAAATATTGCCAATTAAATTCATTAATTTTTAATGTTGAAAAGACAAAATGTGTGATGATGAAAAAAGGTGGTGATATTGGTAAAGTTAAACCTCTCTTCTTGAAAAAAATTGAAATTGAAACAGTTATATAGTACTATTATTTGGGAGTGTTTTTTTCATTATCGAGTTTATTTTCTCTGGCAGCAGATACTTTAGTCAAAAAATCGCAGTTGGCTTCATATAGAGTTCGAGAAATCTTGTTAAGGTCAAGATCAGATTCTCTCAATACGACATTTAAATTGTTGAATTTGTGAGTTATTTTAAAGCAATTTATCATTGTCCACGCAATACGGCTAATCAATATGTACGTGTAGAAACGGGTCTAGAATCATTAAAAATAAGCGTCCTTCAAAAAATGACACTGGTACCGTAAGGTAGACCTAATGAAAGACAACCAGTTACCAAAAGTATGTTTACAAATTTTAAAAAAAATTGATCATTCCTCAAATTAAAATTGCTCATTCAATTGCATTTCTCCAATCATTTAATTAACGCAAAATATATAAATGGTGGCTACACTTGATAAATATGCTGAGAGCCATAGACTCTGAATTTGAATTATTAAACATTAAAAATAAAGAATTATTTGAAGGGGAATGTAAAAGTGTTATTGAAAAGTTAAAATGTAATACATTTTCCCTCGATATTCAAACTATATTGAACTCAAAATTCATGTTTTCCTCTATTTTTCTGGTTTGGAACGTTTCACTCTGAAAATTCAATGACCCCTCCTCATTAATTCAAAATACGGCTCTCCTCAAAGATTTTGTTCCATCTGTATATCCCAGGAGTTCTGTATATTTTTATTGCATTGATCGTACAAAATATGTACCTAGTTACAAAAATAAGTTTTTTGAGGCCATATGATGTATGTTTCCGGGTATTAGAACAATTCGAACTACTTATAATACATTTAAAACATTAGATATAATATAAAGATATAAATATTTCTTAATATATAAGTTGTCTTTTAAGTAATCTTTTTAAAGATGTTTCGATGTTCTAAACAAATCCATATTTCTATGATCTAAAATTATATTGGTATAAATGAAAATCGAGTGCTTACTTTCCGAAAAGCTTAGAAATATTCATTCAACATATTGAGAAATATTATTGTATTTTATTAGGATATTCATTCGCATTGTTTTGAGAACTAGTGAATCAGCAAATTCAAAAATGCAACGTTGCAAGATTACTGGCTCTTGGAGCGATCTTTTGTAAATAAATGAACGTGCGCATTCAGTTTTATATTTGAATTCGAATCTTTATAATTCTTTTTAAGAATTCGATGTATTCGAGATAATAAGTTACACTGATTTATAATCAAAGCTCTAGTACTATGATTCTCTAGTACGCAACTTAACATGAAGCATTTTGTATCAAATCATTCAGAAGTTGTTGAGAGAAACCTATTGAAAAAATAATTTAATAATTAACAGCAAAACTGAACGGAGATGTCTCTCGCCTAGATTCCTAACAGTCAATGGGAAAATATTTCACTCCATATCAGTGGCATTCTGCGTATTGTTTGTACTTAGCAACCTTACATCTCTCACTCCAGGAACAGTTATTGCCTCCGTGTCTTTAAGATACAATACCGGAATCACATCACACTTGAAGTAACTCTTTTTACATAATCACATGTATGTTTACAACAACTCAGGGGTCCTCCATCTTTTTCTACTTGAGGGCACATATATAGATTACTTGTCAAGAGGCATACAGATCAATTCCTGTAATAGGAATCTTTATAAAAACCTGAGTTTCATAATCACTTTAGATAATAAATCTTTGAAAAATAATTATGTCTAACATTTTTGTTTTACAAAATAAAAAATGTATCCCCTATTTATTTTTTTTTCACAACGCCAAATAAATCTCAACTTATTTTGTGATAAACCCGCAACTTAATCAATGTGGACTTGAAGATTATTAAATCAGAATTTTTTTCTAAAAGTTGGGTATTTGTGGTATAGTTGGAGGGTAAAAAAAAAAAGTCACTAATAATTTATGATTTGTTCAAAAATAGAACTTGTCTTAATCTAGCCGCTTAAAAGTCTTTTTTACTTTGTTTTACCTATGACAAACTCTACTTTCCTTTAAAGTAATCTTTTTCTATTTTACTTTGAAGAAATTTTTAATTACTTAAGTTGAATACTTTTTTAGTTATCGTTTCCTACTCAGCAAAAACCTGACTCACTTAAAAAAACACAAAACTTAGTAGTTTGAAAATCGGACGATTTTATAAATGTATATATATATTTTTTTTTTTTTCGGTTTACTCTACAGACCTTGAAGATTTTTGACCGCCTGAACCAGCCTTCTCCACCTCTGCTTATCTTGGGTTGGGCTACTGCTTTACAGTTTGCGGCATGAAGCTCAGCCGTATCATTTTTTATCCCAACTATCCTTCTGATTTTGGGCCTTCCACGTGGTCTCTTGCCTCTATATATATATATATATGACCTAGGGGTTTTTGGGTTCTTGGGCTCAGTACTATGTGAGGAAGAACTGATACAAGGCCAACGGTTGTGCATGGAGGTGATTGGTCCTCCGCCAATACCATGCTCAACCGCCAGGGTTTCCCCATTAAATATTTATTTAATTAAGAGCACCCACTTTATAGGGGCTGGGTTTGCCGTAAGAGTGTCTTCTGACCCCATGGTCGATCCACGGCTAATGAAAAATTACTAGTCATCAGCCGGATTCGAACCAGGTCCCTGAATTTTGAAAGTCAGTCCACATCTACTGAGCTACCTATACACGTTCGCCTATACACATATATACATATATATAAAACAAACCTGACACCTCCAGTAGCCATCAGATAGAAAAGGATAATGTTCGCATCCAGGGCAGGATATGTTGTGCAGCTTGGGATTATAGCGGCTCATTGCTGCTGACTGTGCGAGTGTGTAACCCAGTTTTGCTCCTTCAACCTTTATCAGACACATTATATTTTAGTTTTATTGATAATGTAGTTGCTAATAAATTTAAAAGTACTATTTTATATTAATAGCGAATAGAGACGTCCTGTAACAGTACAACTAATGTATAAGTCAGCTTACATTTGGAATGTTGTTTGTATCGTTTCGTTTATTTCTTAGTCATTACAATACCTGCAAAGTTTGCATCCAGACTATCATGCCTATTCTGAATACTGAGGAATGTTATAAAAACTCAATTGATGACTAGCAATCAAGTAAATTAGTGATTCAATTCAAGCACAATTAGTGTACTTACAATTTTTGTTTTTTGGATTAATATGGTTCTTCGGTCTGATCCCCGAGGCGTGAGCGCCCCTCCCCCTCTCCTAGTAAGAGAGAATCGGTTTGTATACACAAACAGTTAATAAATAAAATGTTTGAAAATGATTGTAAGAAACTTTTATCTTTTCTTTTTCCCCAAAACGGTCATATAATATTGTCTTCACAAGCAATTGATGATATCTTGAGCATTTTACAGAACAGGGCAACATGTATTTTAAATATTATTTTTAAATTCCATCTATTTTGTGTTTTTAAAATACGGTGTATTTTAATTAGAAAGTATTTGCATTATTTTCAGAAAACATATTTCAAATACAAAATACTTTCTGGTGGCCTATCAACATATAATAAAGGACATCTACTCTAATTGATAATTTATTTTGTATATTTAAAGTACAAAAGAAAATATATTTTTTGTAATTTTTTGTAAATACAGATGTATATAATTTATTTTATATTTTACTTCTTAAAATGCAGAATAAAAACACTATATTTTATTTTTAAATTTATTATTAATAGTACTCCTGTGTGGCAATTGACATTCAACAGAAATCCATGAAATCAAGCCCTCGAATTGGTTAGTTATTTTAAGCTTACATTAATGGTTTCTCTTTTTGGTATGGAGTTATAAAGATTTTTTTTTTAAATGTATTGCTTCTTCAACTTTTAATTTCTATTCCTCAAGACCAGATCCGTTAAAATGAACATCAATGCAACAAATAATTGTTATCAGCTTGTTTTGTTCAGGTATACTAGAAGTGAATGAAAAGTATGTTCAACAGTATTAATAGTATTTTATCTTACCAAAACATCTAGATCGTGTTCGTCCTGGAAGTAATTAGCGTGAATGAGAGGTCTGGACTTTGGGTCGGAGTCCTTGAGGAGGATGTATCCTTTACTTCTTGGCCTTAGGAGCAAGGGCAGGATGGTGAAGGAATCTTTGTACAATATAGGCTCAAATACTGTAGCGTAGTATTCATCACTGAGTCCGTTGTTGCGCCTGCCGAAGATACCACCATCGGAATTGTCCCCAGAAGTTGCGAAGAACAGTTGGATATCAGGCGTGTCTTCTGCGTACCTTACAACAACCACTAGTTACTCAATCATTGGGGGTGTTATTTAAAACCAGCTACTTTCTAATATAATTGATACAATGAAATAACCGTTAAGAAATAGACTTTGTTAAAGTGGACCAGGCGTCTCCTAACCGTCCGGTCTTGGGACCACATTAGGCCTTGAATAAGTCCCGCGGACATCAGCTTGTGAGAAAAATAAAAAGGCCTATAAATGATATTTCGGTTGTGAAATGAGCTTTTTAAACGAAACAACTCGTGCAATAAAATTTGTAGTAACTTTATGTTTGAGTGATTTACTAAATATCATATTTTTAAAATAATTTCTAAAGTCCCATCCTAAACTCTAATCGCATTATCCCAGATCAAAAATTTGGATTCCGCTCCTCACATTCCACGAAGCAGCAATTTCATCGTGTGGTAGACGTAGTCTCCTCTACATTGGAGCGCGGAATGTACTGTATGGGAGTCTTTTCTGGGAGTCTGGCACCCGGGACTGCTGTACAAACTCCGAAAATTCCTATCATCTACACAATTCCTCATTATCCGTTCCTACCTTACTGATAGATACTTCAAAGTAAGTCACAACAATGCCTATACATCCCCCTTTTCCTAGTCTGGAGGTGTTCTTCAAGGCATTTTCCTAGATCTGTTCCTTTACACAGTCTATACAGCTGATATCGCAACACTGTCATCACCCCATATGTCGATGACACAGGTATCTATCCTATCAGTTAATAACAACCAATCAATTGCATCCCAAACTCTTCAATCACACATCACAAACCTTGAAGAATGGTGTCAAAACTGGAGAATTAAAATAAATTCCAATAAATCCCATCAAATTACCCTTACCCGTCGTTGTAAACTAATGACTTCCTTTAACTAATGACAGTATCCTTTAACGATACCTCACTTATCCCTGTTGAACAATTACGTTACCTAGGACTGGACAAAACTCTCACTTGGAACCCTCATACAAGACTGAAAAGACAAGAAATTATTCGACGTTTCGGACTACTTCAACACTAGACAAACTCTCTAACCTTCCAATTAATTACAAAAGATTCATATACATGACTATAATAAATATTTGGATTTACGGAGATGAGCTATGGGGCTCCACCAAACCACCAAATGCCTCTCGTATCCAAATCCTTACAATCCAAAATATTTCGCAAAATCCTCAATGCTCCTTACTTTATTACAAATAAAATCACCCATAATGACCTTAATGTTCCTTATGTTTCAGATTTGGCCCAATCCAGAAACCTATCCTTCCATAATAAACTTCATAACCATCCCAACCCTCCTGTTTCTAACCTTGCTTCCTCTCCAATTCCTGATAATTCTCCTAAAAAGCGGCTAAAAAGAAGATGGCCTCGGGACCTTCTCCTAATGTATACATATTATTAGAGTGCTACTAGTGGGTAGTGTTTAGGGTTGATCACCCTAAATTGGTGTTACTCCCCCCCCCCTTTCATGGGGTACATAAAAGACCAGTGAAGTTGGTAACATTGCAGCGACGGTGGCGCTGTATGCACCAAAAACTAGTAGCAGTAGGAGAAAAAATGGGCGACTAAACCCACACGAAGTAGACGAATACTCTAGCCTCTTCAAGATTACTTTCTTGCTGTTCTACCATGGGAAGAGGAATGGAGTAGAACACCGAGACCTACCGGACACATGGAGGTGAGAAGTGTAGCAGCCGGCCGACCACCGATACCACCGCCGTACATCCAGCTACATCAAGTAAACGATTACAGAACTTTTATAAGCCAAACCCCCATCTATATTCAATGTTTAAATGTAATTATACTTCATTAAATACAGTCCACTTGTTCTTTCAAATACCCAATAAACATCTGTACCTTATCATATTAAAAATGACGGTACATCCCATTTCATGGTCCTCCGGGCCGGATACCAAGTTCATAGTCCACTGGACCGAGTTATTCATTATTAGTTATTTAGTCCTAATCAATTTTATTATATAAAACACATTACCTGAGCCATCAATAAGCCTTTAGCTGACAATTGACATGTAATTTTGTTTCAATGTAAATATCAAAGATTCATTTTCTAATTGTTTTTTCAATATCCATCATTTTAATTGTCTAAGCAGAATCAGTAATTTAATAATGTATTGTATCATTATTTTCTATCTATATATAAATATCTTGCATAGCATGATATTTAGTTAAATGGCTCTAACACTATTCACTGATTATATTATTACTACTAATCATTCCACATAACCTTAATTTGATATTGAAGTAATTTTTGTTATTTTCTTTCAATTACCACTAATTATCCTAATGCTTTTACTTGTTAACTATTTCAATTGTTTATTTATTTATTTCATGAAAGTGTTTTTTGATTTTCAAATAGGCTTTTTAATTACTATAAAAGGTTATTGTAAGGTGAGCTTCAACTTTTATGTCTCAAAAGGCTATAAGTATTAAATGATATAATATTTGATTCTTGATTTGATTAATTTAAATTGTTTAAATTTACCATTGAGTTAAATGATAAATATTTTCATACTATCAAGGCTGTTCATTAGAATGGATAATAGTCATTCTACATAACCTTTATCTGATACTGAGGTAACTTTAGTTTTCTTTCTTTAAATTTTAGCTGTTCAATTTAAATCTTTCACAGCATTAGCTCACTAAATATTCTTTCTGTGATGGGGTGTAATAAAATCAACTAGAAAACTTACTTATTTCTTTATTGAGTGAATATGTATAATCAAACAGGGCTAATATTTACATTCATTATTTCAAAATGTCATCTCAATTCACTTAAATCACAATATATGCTCAAACTATTTCATTTCACTAATAATCTATCACAAGTTATCACTGGTTTCTTCAAAATTATGTTGAACATTTGATTATTCTAGCCTCTTGACTCTATATTTATCTACAATGGAAACCTTCTCTATGTTATTCTCCCGCCTCGCGGTTTCCCAAAGAGGTAGTAGGCCTCTCTAGTATTCTCAGTCAAGAGCTACCAAACCTGTGACGTCACCGTGTACTATTTCTTGTGACCACAGATTTTCTTTGTTCATTTTCAACATAATTTTTTGTGATAATCTTTTTGTTTATTTTCATTCATTAGTTGTTTTGAGCATGTTTAAATTTATTTCTTCTTGTGATTTGTTTATTTTCTAGTTTTTATTCACTTTTTTATTGGTTTCTTCAAAATTATGTCGAACAATTGTTTTCATTCTAGCCTCTTGACTCTATGTTTATCTACACTGGAAACCTTCTCTATGTTATTCTTCCACCTCGCGGTTTCCCAAAGAGGTAGTATGCCTCTCTAGTATTCTCAGTCAAGAGCTCCACACCTGTGACGTCACCGTGTACTATTTCTTGTGACCACAGAATTCTTTGTTCGTTTCAACATAATTTTTTGTGATAATCTCTTTGTTTATTTTCATTCTCTAGTTGTTTGAGCATGCTTCAATTTTTTCTTCTTGTGATTTGGTTATTTTCTAATTCTTACTCACCTTTTTTCAATGGTTTATTCGAAATTATGTTGAACAATTGATTCATTCTAGCCTCTTGACTCTTGTGTCTATCCACTGGGAACCTTCTCTATCTTAGTCTCCCGCCTCGCGGTTTCCCAATGAGGTATTATGCCTCTCTAGTATTCTCAGTCAAGAGCTACCACACCTGTGATGTCACCGTGTACTATTTCTTGTGACTTCACAGCTTTTCTTTGTTCGTTTCCAACATAATTTTTGTGATAGTCTTTGTTTACTTTAATTCTTTGTGTGTATGAAGCATGTTTCAATTTATTCTTCGTGATGCATTTTTATTCTATTTCTTACTAGAAATAGTCTTTACAAGCCGGGCTCCATGAGTCCCATTTCAAGAAATCTAATCGACCACCTGCGTCAGATTTCAACAAAACCAACGATATTCCGTTGGAAATTACAGTTCCTTCAGTAGCATCAGATGCTTATATGTTTAGTGACATTTCACTTGAGCCATCTTCTTCCATTGAAGATAAACAACGTCGTCACACTTCCGAGGTGTCGTTTGTACGACATAAATATTTTTCTCCCAGGCTCCCTAAGCCTCAATTGAAAACACATGATCGCCCAGCCGCGTCAAATCCTAAAACAGTGAACTACATTACAAGATACTCACATAGGCGGAGGAATGCAGAATCGCAATCCATCTTTGAGAAATACTCAACTGAATACAGTTTACCTCCAGCTAGATACATAACTCTGCAGCAGGCTCTGCAACTGCTTAGAGAAATCATACATTTACTTCGGGTGGGAGATACTGATGTTATCTTGTTTCCTTCATGTATCCGCCCAGAACTCTTGTGTTATAACCAAGATGGCGGATACATGATCCTCGGATTGCGGCAGTTCTACAATATCAGTTCTACATCCCTTCAGTAGAACCTGCCTAAGAAATAGCTGATTCATTGCATTGTAAGAAACTTCTAACCTTCATTTATAGGCCATGAAGCTTTCAGAGCGTTTATTATAGTTTATAACCAGAGCACTTTACTCTTCAACTTCACGCAGTGTTAAATATTTAGTTTTGGAACCAACATCTTTGCTCAACCATTTTGCAATCCATGATCATTGAATTAGTCTCCGGTCTTCCACCTCAGTTTTGATTTCTATTCTGGTAGCTCAGTATTTTGTGCAATAAAGTTTCAAGTTCACTTTTTCCTTAAAATTCTCAATTCCTAACACTTAGGAAGTTACACAGCAACTTATTATTCCACATACCTTTTTGTTCCCATGGTCTTTGCAGGGTGGGCGGTATGTGCAAACTTTTGTTTAGCTATTTTAATTAGTAACTCATGTGCTACAGTTTCTTTGTTTGTCATTTTATATATGACTCCAAACAGCACACCTTAATATACCATGATACAAGTAATCAAATACCCACCTCAACTCCTTAATAAGTTGTTATGGACTAATATGTATGTTGTATAGTTTTTTCCAAAACTTCAGCAAAACCTAAGATTTGGATAATGAACAGTACTGAATCATCTAAATTCATTTGCTGAGGAGTTGTAATCTGCAATCAGTCAAACCATTTGCTAAAAACAAAGGGTAAATTCAGTGATAGGAAGTACTATATACTATTTCGAATTTTCCAGTTTCTCTATGGAAAAGTAATTAATATCTCAGGAGCATTCTTAAAACAGAATTTCGAACAATTTTTAATTATTTATCTCTTAGATAGAAGATCAGTTAGAGGATTGAGGACTCCATTGATTTTTTCTACTTTGTTTTTCACTTATTCAAGGAGTCGTATTTATTTTTTTTTTATCTTTACGTTATTCATTGTTTATATTCAATACCTTGCAAGTAATCAATATATTTAGAAAGATATTTATTAATTTTCTTCTATAAATATTTGTTTCTTTGTTCTTTAATTGAAGCTCACCAAGGTACCTTACAAATGTATTTTTTCTTTATTTTAAATTATTGAGTATAATTTAGGTGGGCGGTTTGTTTAGACCTACCGGACACATGGAGGTGAGAAGTGTAGCAGCCGGCCGACCACCGATACCACCGCCGTACATCCAGCCACATCAAGTAAACGATTACAGAACTTTTATAAGCCAAACCCCCATCTTTATATACTGTTAAACTATAATTATAATTAATTTCATACAGTCCACTTGTTCTTTCAAATACCCAAGCATATGTACCATATCATAATAAAAATGACGGTACATCCCATTTCAAGTAGTTTCTCAACAAGTGTTTCATGTCATTATATCCATTTTATAAATTTACTAGATGTATTTTTTTATACAGTTGTAAATATCATAATAAATAATATAATAAAGAATTGTAAAGATTCTTTGATTACACGGTACATTCTTAAAAAATATTTACTAAGAATGCAATTTAGAAAATCACTCAAACACAAGATTACTATAGCTTTTATACCATCTGTTTTGTTTTCATGAACATATAAACATTAGAAAGATCATTTCACAAGTCTCATTTATAGATACATATCTCAGTTTCTCATTAATTTGGTAAAAAATCATCGTTCGATGCCCAAGGTTTTCGACCTTATTACTTGAACAGATTGTTAAGTTATGGTTCTAAATTGACGCAAGACTTAGCATTCTTTAATTTCTTAAGGATTAACTTTTAACTTAGTATGCATCGTTCACGAGTTATAAGAGAAAATGAAATAATGTCCTAAAAAATGAGTTTTTTTAGCTAACATACGTTCTTGTGATTTAGCCTGTGTTAACATTTGTGTTGCTTTGAAATTTCACCCATATATACCCATACGAGTAAAAATATTTTCAAATTACTATTACAGGAAATACAAAAAAAAAAAAATCGATGTTTTTGGCTTTCATTGTTTTGAACATCAATATATTGCTATTTTTGTCCGTAGGACTTATAGTGAGTGTCTCAATATGGCCCGCTGGCCAAAAACTTTATAGACACTTGCTATAGATGTAAGTAAGCTACAGATGTAATTGGTAGTATTTTATACTGAACATATAATAATATTACCTACAATATTATTCATAAAATTATCTCTGCAGTACAAGTAGTACACAACTTTCACTTACCACCCTTCTTTGAATTGAAATAAATTTTAAATAAACTGTAAGAAAATTACTTGAACAATAAATATAAACTAAATGCAATAATAATTATTGATATCGTTTCCTTATTTTCCATTATCTTCTGTGACTTTACGAGCTAGATATTAGTTTTCATAAAATATTAAACTTTCCAACTACGAGTATATATTGTACTATACCCTACTATTATAGAATAATGCACTACTATTATCCCGGGAAATTTCTTTTCGGCCTAGGAAAATATTTCTCCTTTATTTAATTATTAAATTCCATCATAATTTATATTTATCAATTTGTATTTTCAATTACCGGTATATTAAATATATAGTATGGAAAAGTACTGTGATCGTGAAAAATTTTGAAACCGAGTTTTTAAAGGTCATTCCTGTTTTAACATCTCCTGATTATAATTAAAGTCTGGCAAAATGGTCTGTGAACAGCCTACCAAAAAAATATTATTCTTTCGGAACATTTTTTTGTCACATATTTTCATGTTAAGGATTAGATTCCTGTAATCTACAGTTTGTGGAAAGAAATATAGTTTTGATTATTATCTTTCTACAATTTACTATATCAATGAGATAGAAAACTATTACGTATTTGTATAACTCATATTGCACACTATTTTTCTGAAACACTCGATCCGAATGACTTTACGTTACAAACGCACCCAATTTCATTGTCGAATTAACTTTAGGCGTTTATACTCAGAAAACATTCCACTTTCTCTATCAATCCCTATTGATCAAATAATAGTGAATAACGTTCTGTGAGTCTGATACTCTCCTAATGACAGACGTTACCTTGTCTTTACGAAAGCCATAGCCTCAGTGGTGGGCAGAGCGTACAGTGGGCCGGTGTGGTTCTTGATGAAGGTTCTGAGGGAGTTGATGGTGAGCAGCCTTGGAAGGACGAAGGCCGAACCCATAGGACCGTCGTCGCCAGGAGAATCGATAAGGTAGGTCGCCCCTCCCATGGCCACATGGTCCTGCAAGTTCTTGCCCACTCCTGGAAGGTGGTGAAGCACTGGGATCTCCTTCTCCGCCAAGTGTTGTCGATCGCCTATCCCTGAGAGCATGAGAAGCTGAAACGGTTTACTCATTAAACTTCAGTAATACAATTTTATTTTTGTGTTTTATATCTTGTGATGTTGAGGAATACTAGTAATTTAATTGTTTTAAGAAATCTGGGATATTCTTATTCTGCTGCCATTTCTTTTTAAGTAAATCTCTATTTGTTTCCAATTCATCACTTGGAAAATAACGAAATTTATTCGAAATGGTCTATTTGACATAAGAAGCATAAACTATTATAAAATATCTATGATATTGGAATAATTTTGTGTGATATGTTAAGTTACCTGTGGAGAATTGATTGAGCCGGCAGAGAGAATTACTTCTTTTTTGGCGAATACTTTAATGTCCTTCAGCCCGAGTCTACTAAAGCTGACCCCGACAGCTTTTAAAAATCCTTGTCGAGTTCTGCGAATATGGATCTTTTGGACATCGGAGTAGAGGATAACATGCAAATTTTTGCGATGTCTGATCGGACGTAGGAATGCTTTAGCAGTGCTGCATCTGAGACCTGTAAAGTTCAAGAGATTCATTCAAATTTCTTTGCATTATAAGAAATACCTTATATTATTATTCTTATATTCTTCTAAAAAAAAGTACAGTACGTCCAGATTGATCTATTTTTGCACTAAGGCAGATAAACCGAATGCAATAGTTATAATGATTGCTTGTAGTTTAAATGACAATCACCTACTGGTACAGGTCGGGGTAAATAGTTTGGCAAGTGGGCCTTGTGGTCCTTTTCGTCAAACCCTGATGGCTACCTAGCCGCCTATTCATCAGAGTGGGAGGTTCAATATTCGGGGCCGTCGAGATTATAAATATTAACCTATCCAAGTGAGAATCGAACCCACAACGTTCAGAACAGGTCACTCTGCGACCCACGCACCCAACTTTCTCGGCCATCGCATCCTTAAGCGGTGTTACAGAAATTGTCATAATTGATTCTGACTTAAAATATCAACTGAATTTGAAACTGGAGGTTGTCTAACCCATTTTGATACTGTTCTTCCAAACAAATTGTTGCTATATAACTTCACTAATACTGTTGTATCACTCTGGTAACTAGTCCTTTTAATGGTTAGCTGGTAATAATTATTAACTACCTTGTTTAAATAGAAAATTAAGATCCTCTAATCTGATATTACTTAAATTCAAGTTTGGCACGGAGGGAAACAGATTGATTAAGAACATATTTAATAATAATAAAGTTGTACCACTTCAACCCATGAAGGGTTTTGGGTTTAGAACTTTGTAAGGAGGTACTGTTTCAAGGCCAACGCTTGTGACGGTAGGTGATCGGACCAGTGAATGACGCTCAACCGCTAGGTATTTCCCTTAATCAAGTATTTAATTAAGAGTACCCACATTAGAGATGCTGGGTGTGCTCCCCAGAATGGTCGTCGGACTCCCGAGTCGATCCTCGGCTGATGAAAACTTACTTGATATCAGCCGGATTCGAACCTGGGATCTTGAGCTTAGCAGCCCAATTCCTAACTTACTGAACTACTCCGCTCCATGAATTTATTTCATAATATATCTAAGTACAAAACCCTAGAACTCATCATTCGAAACTGTTTCAATATGTTACAATCGATGTGCGTCAAACATTATATTTATAACCTGTACCAGATTGATTAGTCGTTAATGGCAATCCCAAGTGCAACACCAGTTACTTTAATAGTGTGCCACTTTTGAGAAACTGTTACTGAGCATAGTATCAAAGTAACAGTTGCTTATGTCACCCATCCATAATAGTAATTAGCTCTCGTAAATTACACCTTCACGTAGTGTGCAGTGTGATTTGGTGAACCCTGTCTGGTTGTAACCGTTGACATCACGGATCGGGTAGCCAAGTTCTAGGCCGGCTTCCAAGAAGGCGTCAGTGATTGGAGAATAGTAGCGGAGTTCTTCTACGCCTAAGTAACCCCCGCGTCCATGAAATGGGTCCCTTTCGTAGCCCGCCACTCTCATGTTCTCCGACTTCTTGAAGTATGGAAGCACATCGTTGTAACTCCAACCTGTACAAAGATTGAATCAGTTATTTATATTTAGGAAATTATAAGTAATCCATATGTTTGATGGATTTGATTTGGGTTTCTCTATCAAAAATCAGGAATAGATATTACTGTTTTTCGATCTTGTTCAAAGCTAAAGTTAAAGAGATTTCGCTTGATGTGGTTAAACAGTGGGTAAGTGAATCTCCGAAATGCAGTTTAGGAACAGTTGTTTCCTTGAATTGAAAATCGATTTTATGATGGAACTTTAGAAAGAAGCTTAGTAATTGAGGATCAGATCTTGTGTCGTATTCTTAAAAAACAAATAATTTTAATCCAATAATTATGCTCTAAAATACTAAAAAATATATTTATTTTTTTTTTAGTAATTAGTAGAGAAATAATATATACCCTGTCCTTTTTCTAAATACATTTTTTTTTTAGTTGTATTAGTGTTAAATGTAATATAATATAAATGGAAAAGTCCAAACTACAAAACCATGAGTCTCTAACATGCATGTCAACATTTTACCTTCCAATGTTTCCCTAATTCAGACTAGACTACAGGTATAGAAACAGAAATAGAAAAATCATCTTTATTCTGGGACAAAGTCCCTTAAGAATAACAATATTTTTCTCACAAATAATCAATAAATCTGGCCAAGGGACCTTGCAATAAACTGTAACTCCTTTCTTTCTTTTTTTTATTTATTTAGAAATATAATAATCTGTCACGTGTACAATAATTATAGTGAGATATGAACACATTCGTACTATATATACAGAAAACATAAAATTAGCAAAAGCAAAATAATAATAATAACTAAATAATAATCAGGCGACTATGTGCAATAAAAAATAAAATAACCTAAAGATAAGTAAATAACAGTAACTAAAGCATAAATAATAAAACATTTGTATACATAAAACTGTATATATATATATAGTTGTTACAATACTGCACCATAGCTGTTATAAATAATAAAATTAAAATAACTAAATGATATTAGACTGGAACGTTAAATCAATTTTATAGGCTAACCATTGTGATATAAAAAAAAACAATTAACTAACTGAAAAAAAAAATGATTTACATCTGTTCCTTAAAATGTTTAAATGAAGATTCATAATGGTATTGTATAAAAATAGAAAACTACCGTACACTAAATATGAAAACATGGATTGAGAGTAAAAAATCACTTATTTTTTTTATGGACATCTTCAATTAAGAATATATTTGCAGAAACAAACAAACAAAAAAATTTGCTAGCGACATCTCGCCAAGCCATCCAAATACACACTGAAGGAATTGGAAGGTTGCATAAACACAACAGAGGAAGGTTATAATATACAGCTGATTATATGGACAAAAAGAAAAAAAAAGAAATGAAGGGTGATAAATATTCAGGACGCAGTCTTTTTAATTTTTTTTTATTTATGCCAACGTTTCAACCCAAACATGTGGGTCATCTTCAGGGCGTGGTTTGAGCACTGAGGGTATTCAAGTGCTGACAGTACTTGAACACCCTCAATGCTCACAAAAAAATTTAAAAAGACTGCGTCCTGAATATTTATCTCCCATGATATGTTCAACAGTCGACTAACTTCCTTAAAAAAAAAAGAAATGAATAACGCGTTAACTGCTAACCTCATGGCTTTATAGTTTGGATTTTCCATTTATATCCTAATTATTTTATGTCTCTCTTTGAGCTGTATATTCATTTTTGCAATATTAATATACAATACTTATATTGTATATACTTATACTATATTATATTATATTATATACGTATACTTATATTTTCACTAAAACAAAAGACACCTAAATGATATTTATCGGTTGAATAAGAAACTTCATTTGAAATATATACTGTTTGTTAAATCAATTTAACTTAACTATGATGTATATATTAATGACCGTTCTAAATGACAGTAATATTTTATCGACCAAACTTGTATCCCCGATAGAATTTTATCTGTCTTAAACCTTATTTATCTAAAATATTTAATTCAGAAATGCTGAAACGTTTCTTCAATTAAGCATATCAACGAATAGACAGCACAAATAATAATTTATGTTATAAATCCAAAACCTGCCATGATTTCCGGCCGCCGCCCACTCTTCGTAGTCCAACGGGTTGCCGCGGATGTAGAGCATGGCGTTGAGGACGCTGGATCCGCCAAGGCATTTACCCCTCGGCCACTTTGATCGGTTTCCTTTCATGCCGAGGTTAGACCTGGTGGACGGCTCTGTTTCATACTGCCAGTCAATGGTGGTCGTTTGCAGGGCTGAGTATAGGACGGGAAGGTCTGAGAGAACAGGCTCTGGGCCGCCAGCTTCTATCAGCAGCACCTAGGGGCGTTGGACAGATAAGTTTCTGATTTTCATAAATATTAAAGGGTTAACGTCATGTTTTTTGCTTTTTTTATGAACAACCAAAGAAGTGGGTTGGACTTGAATTTCTGTATGGCGCCTATTGGCTTCCTATGGAGAGCGAACATGGCAAAAAAGTAGTTTCGGATGAAAAGCTTTAGCCTACCTTAAATAAGTGTGGAATTACTGGAATTGCGTACGATTTTTGGTTTTTGACGTAGACTGTTCAGAGCATGGCCGGAACTAGAGTTTTCGCCAGGTGGGGCAAGTTTAATTTTGCCACCCTCAATAAAAGTCAGCAGTTTATCTTATATATTTCGAAATAACTATCATTATTCGATAATATTAGCTTATATTGTTGACTGACTTCAAAGGTCAAAAACAACCAAAAAGTTAGAAACAAATATTTTTTACTTAACAAAAAAAATAGTGCCTGTTACTGGTTCGCAGACAAGCATATATAAAATTTGTTTGCAAGGCTTTGCTATTTGGACTCAAGGGTACTGAGAGAAATCATGGGTCTTATGGAACTGTGTTTTTCTCCCAAATATCTGTTATAGGAATTGATCTGTATTTATAAGTGACAAACCTAATGTTTCTTATGCTAATATTTATATTTATAATAAAGAAACCTTCTGATTACTTAATGTTAATGAAAATGTAAATATTAAGATCAGGACTATTACGTTTGTCACCTATAAATACGGATCCATTCCTATGACAGAGATCTGGGAGAAAAAACATTTCATAAGCTCTTAAAACAGACAATAGTTGAAAAGTCATTATTTTTAATTTTTTTTTTTTTAATAAATAAAAAGTGTATTCAAGCAATTATGTTTATTATGATACACCCCATATCTTGGAAAAACAAGAAATATAATTTTTGCAACAGTTAATTATACCCATTTTTTCTGAAAACAGGGTTACTTTTAGTTTACAGGGAAAAAAATAACATCGTTTTCTTACACAACTTGAGATGAATCTCATGTTTTTTCCTAATAAACCTCAACTTAATTAACACGAATTTAAAGTTTATTAAACGACATAGTTTTTCTAAAAGTGGTGTATCTGCAGTATTGTTGGATGATGAAAAAAAAAATCGCGAAAAATGTATGATTTTTTTAGAAACAGAACTTGGCTTGGTTTAGCCCTCAAAAGTCGTTTTAAAATTGTATCAACAATGACAAACTCTATTTTCATTAGAAGAAAATTTAGTTTTTTTTTCAGTGAATAATTGTAAATTACTTAAATTAAATATTTATTTAGTTATCGCTTCCTATTCAACAAAAAATATGACTTACATAAAAATACAAAAACTTGGATTTCCTACTTCTCTGCTGAAAATTGCCTCATTGTTTATATTAATTGTTATGTAGCTCTTGAGATCTGCTATCACTCCTATAAAAATTTTCCTAATTAGCAATTGATTCATAATAAACTAGACAAAATTTACTACAAACGAAAGTAGATTTTGTCGTAGGTAAAACCATTTTGAGAGGCTCAGCTAAGAAAGGATCTGTTTTTTAAAAATCATGAATTGTTCGCGACTTTTGCCTGTTGTCACACGAACGAGTAATCATTTATTATTAAACCATTATTTCAATATCAGTATTGTTTGTTTTTTTTAAAACATTTATCTCAATTGATGAAGTTATTGAGTAGTCCTAGATCCCTTAGGTAAGGCACAAGTGACAAATATATGCCAGACTTGGCGATAAGCTATACTTAAAACTATGGCACGAGAAAATAATAAATATGTGACAATATAGTAGAAATTCATTCCTCCCATTAATGATTATTAAAGGAACTTAAGGACTAACCGATGTGACGGGTACTCAAATATAGCTGACGAAGAACCATTCTCGTTGCTGATGTATCAATTTAAATAAACTGATATTATTAATAATTGTAATAGAGCAGTCCTCTTTAAAAAAATATATATAATTTCATCATTTATTAGGTTACTCATTTTTCTATATGAATGAATGAATAAATATCTATATATTATATAAAAATGGGACACCATTATGTTTTTGTTCAAAAATTTGATTAATTAATGGCAACAACTGAGACTCTTTTTTTCATCCTAAAAAAGATAACAAAACAATAAAATTTCTTATCAACCATAAAAAACTAGTTAATGTTATCAAACATCTATTTATATGTAACGTTTCGGCTTTTTTGGTAATTTTCAAACATATTTTTATATAACGTTTACCAGTTATAATATAAAAAAAAAAATTAAGTTATTTTTGATCTTGTAGTTTAATATTATGTTATAGTTGCTAATGCAATTTCAAAAACGTGTATTTCTGTATGAAATTTTTCACCTCTATATTTGTATTAAAAAAAAATACAATACCACCCAAGTGTTGATTAACAAAAAGAAGACTTTGTCTGAAGAAAAAAACTGACGTATATTTTTTAAAACACGATACCAGAAATAATAAAAAAAAATATTATAGGTAGTAAACCATAAATAAAGATGTTTTTGAAATTGACCAAAAAGGTCGAAACGTTACATACATAGATATGTGATAAAACTAAATAAACTATTTTTTTTAAATTAAGCATTTTATTGTTTTTGTATCTTTTACGGGATGAAAAAAAGGCTATAGTTGTCGATTATTGTGTAATCTACTTTTTAGAAAAAAAATGTATTATAGTATTTTTCGTAACAAAAAGATAACTTTACATTTTCCATTACCTTAAAAAATTAATTCCCTCTGTCACATAAACATTTCAATAATTATAAATAATAATTATTCTCCAATTATATTCTTTTATAGACAATTTAATTTATATTTTTAAAATAATTTAACAAATGGTATATATTATTTATACCAGGGGTTGAAACTTCATGGAACGTTTTTAAAGAGTTCCATTTTAACAGTTTCTGAGAAACATTTCAGGAAAAAAAATTCTTAAAATATAATTTCTAAGGAACCCTTTTTTTAAAGTTTCTTTAGTGAAGTTCTATGTGTATTTTAAAAGTTTAACCCTTATTTATTTAAGTTTTTTAAAAAATTTACGTTAAAGGAGAAATAATTAGTTATCGGGCCTAGATTAGAGTTGTAATTTATCTTAAATGAATTACTTGTTTCTGAGGTGTTTGTTTGAGTAGGTAACAATAAATGTTTTTGAGATGGAGTTTTTAGCGAAGCACATATAATTTTAAATAATTTTTTTTTTTTTTTTTAATAAAAGTTCTGTGAAACCTTTACGCGAGAGAGAAACACTTTATTTTCAAATAAAATATAAATATAAAAGCTTGCTGCCCAATTATATTGGGTTGCTATACACACAGCTTACTCGTTAATCCGAAGGACAATAAATAAACTTATATATAAATATACAGAAGTGGTTAGTTTATATGAGTATAATAAATATATATATACATTTTTTTTTTTAACATTTAATTTCCCTTCCTCTCACTTGACTCTCTTTATCCCTCTTTATATACCTCTCCTATACACAATATTAAGATGCTTAAAATTATAATAGAACAATAACAAAAAAACAAAAGTGTATCCATCTAGAATTAAATAAAATTTGATATAAAACAAATATAATAAATATTTTTCATTATTAAAATTAACAATAGAAAAAACAAATGAAAATGATGATTCCAGCCATCCAGTGATCAAGCCCTGGTTTTGTGTTATGGAGTTAATCAGTTTGGTAAATAAGTCAAAATCGGTTAAGATTTTGACTTCCGTAGATGTCTTTGAACTTTCCCCTATTTATCTATAAAGCTCCGTGTCATTATAAAATGATACAAGTTTTTTTTGTAATTTAATCGTAAATCTGGTATTTGTAAGTCTCGGTTTTCATTGGCCGATGGTTTAAACGATATCATGTTAACTATTTCATTCTTTGTGAATTCGGACATTGAGTGTACTCACTGTGACCCCATGGAGCTCCGACAGCCTGTTGGCGAGGACGGCACCCGCAGATCCAGCGCCGACGACGATGAAGTCGTAGCTGTATTGGAGTTTTCCAGGAGTCTTGGCAACAATCCGATTCTGCCTATCCTCAATGTCGGGCCTGTTGAGGAGGACGAGTACACGAAGAAGAAGGACGAAGGTATAGCTGGGGCCGTAGGAGAGGGCAATCCTTGCGGCGGACAGAACCCGCAGCCCAGCGCTCGCCATATTTGCCAATGCTCGCTCAGCATCGCGGGTCGGGAGGGGATATTGTTTATTTTATTATCTTGCTATTCTCCTGTATCGATTAGTTCCATATCGATTATATTCTTTCCAACATTGTGCAGTAAACAAAACGTCATCTTAGGTGTCCGATTTTCGATTTGTCAACACTTTTAATACGCCGGCGTACAGCGGAACAAAGAAATGCCTCAGATGTAATTATTTTAAGATCTAAAAAATACTCAATGTGTATTGTAGTTGATAAGATTTATAATAAATCTACAAAGTCATTTAGTGGAAAGAAAATTGTTGAGGAGTGGAATGAATACTCCGCGGTAGAGACCCCTTTTTAACAAGTTAACACTCGTCTAAAACTTTGTAAGTGACTTTTTCTGATTAAATTAATTAATTTAATAAGCTCCAAAAATCACTTGAATACCCATTTGCTTTCCATTTGAATCGTAAGATAATTTGATCGCAAAAGCGAGATAAAAGTTAGCCTACAAAAATATTGGGCCATTTGGCTTGCATAACCTCGTTATTTTGACATGTTGGGGGTGGGGTTCACGCCTGGGTGTTCGTAAGTTTTCAGTACCCCATTAAATTGACAAAGCTGACTTATCTCCAGATAAAAAATACCCCATTTGCAAGAATTTTCTTCGATAAAAGTTGTAGGTTACTGTGGAGGGTAGGTTTTTCGGAGAGATCCAAGCAAAATTGTCTTATTTTCTACGACGGAAGTGATTAAATGTTAGTTCTTCTTACTGTTCATTCCAATTTTCCTCCTCTTTTCTTGTAAAATCTGTCTTTTCTGAGTACATTATTTGAGAAACGCCGATTTTAAGTAAGGTGATCCAGAGCTTCTGACTACTTCTTTTGCCACTTCATCAGCTCATTCTTTGAGAGTTATGCCCTGTGTCGACCTTGGAAATTTGGCGCCCCCCCCCCGGGCAATGACCTATTCTCTCCAAAAAAAAATGTAAAGTTATTCCTTAAGCTGTTTTATATTAAGATATACTTGAACTTTATTTCATTCAATATTTCTCTAATACAGTTGCTTTATTGATAGGCTGAAATTAATTAGTTTAACACGTTTTATATTGTTTTTTTTAATTTCTAACGAATGGCGAGCGCCCCTGAAAATCGGCGGGCGCCCTCGAGGAGCGCCCATCTAGATCAGGGCGCCGATTTGAATCAGTAACCGGCACTGGTTATGCCTATAAGTAAAGGGACAAATAACAGCGTTATTTCCCGAACATCTTAATAATGGTCAATATTACCAATAAATAAACAATATAATAATCAATTCTAGGTACAGACCACTATTTATCAAATTACTAATACTCGTCTAAAACTTTATAAATCGCTTCTTTTTATCGTAACTGTTGACGCCAACATGAATAATTTTATTGTTTATTTTCACCATATCATTATATGGGGAGTACATTTTATTTTGTATAATTGTTACAAAATATTATATGTACAGGTCAGGCCCTAAATATTTCGTACACAAAGACGTCCCAGCGACGATGTTTTCGGCCAGTTTCGGATCAGCCCGCCTCTCGTCGTATCACTTAATACCATAGGTAAAAAGAAAACATTGGAAAATCAGTATGGCTGCTGTAGGCACTAAGTTAAGAGCTGCCTCCATGAGTTTCTTCGTCCCGTCATGGTTGTTCCCGGCAAACCCATTGGTTTCATCATCCCAGGCTGTGACGGTGACTTCCCAGATGTGGGAACCTGGGGACATTATTCTCCTTTACCAGGAATCCCTCAGGTGTTATCATCAGGAAATAAAAACATTATTTTATCAATTAAACACATTATTTTACAATGAGGCTGAACTCTGTCTTATTTACTGCCTCATGCAATACTCCTTCAGAGCGCTTAATAGTTTAATTTCTAGCATCTTGGTCTTTTATAATGAATTACCAGGTTCAGTACCGGTTTTAACATCTTTTTTTTTTGTAAATTATGGTCTTGTGTAATATAATTTTAAAACAATTAAATTAACATTTGGATTACTTTCAGTAATCCATAATAAATAAATAATAATAATTAATTATTTTAATAATAAAACAGCCATAAAACATCATCATAATCATATTCCTCTTTACCGCCTATGCAGTGTGAGGTTGCTTCTTGTAGAGCTTGGACCAGGTGGACCTTTCCAGTACCAGCTCTCGTCTCCTGTTCCATTCTAAACCTCGCTTCTGGAATGCATCTCGCACGCCTTCTTCCCAGGAGATTCTGGGTCTTCCTCTCGGTCTCCTACCCTGCACGCGAGTCTCATACGTCTTCCTTGCGACTCTGTTCCGATCCATACGGAGAAGGTGCCCAAACCATCTCAACTTGTGTTCTTCTATTATGGTTTCGACCGCTTTGGCGTCGAGATTGGCCCGGATTGTAGTATTGCGAATTCTGTCTCGTCTAGTCTTTTCCTCCACCTTTCGCAGGTATCGCATCTCTAGAGCCTGGATCTGGCTCCTGTGTTTCGAAGTAAGTGTCCAGGACTCTGAAGAATACGTCAGTATAGGAAGGAATACTGATCTGTAGACCGTCATCTTCGTTTCCTTGATCACCTCTTTTCGGTTCAGAAAGCCTTTCCTAACCGAGCCGAACATTCTTCCAGCAGCTCCTATTCTCTGCCTTTCCTCCTCGTCAATATATTCATTTTCATTGAGTTGAGCACCCAAGTATTTGAAACTTTCCACCTGCTCTAAAATCTCTCCGTCGACCCTCAATACCCTCATAAAACATTGTAAATTTAATTCATCAGTTTGGGGTTTTCTTCCTTTTGATTAATGTTTAAAGTAATATTTTATTTCTCTCATTTATTATTATTTTGTATTAAGGGAAATATTATTAATTTATTCTTTCATTTATTAATTTGTAGCATGTTCATTTTATTTATTATTTTCAATATACATAGATTTTCGGCTATTCCGCATTTCACTTTTTTATACATATTTATCCACAATGGATTTCATATTTTAACAATTAAAAATTAATTAATTAATTAGGCAATAAACAGTGCCTAAGGATTAGGTAGAGCAGATTTGGCGGTTCACATCTGACATATGGTCCAACTTCCGAACAAAATAAAGGAAATAAAAATTTTATTTTTTATTAGTGATATATGAGTTTTACCAAACAACCCATCAACTATTCATTATATGTAGTTCAGATTAGATATATACTATTTATTTTTATCAAACTGGTATTAATATGACTCATTTCCGGAGAAATATATACAATTTAAATTACCTCTAAGAATCAGTAACTATACAAAACAAAGTGTTACATTGCAAACGTTAAATAAAAAATTCAAGATATTCAGCAAAGTTCTTTTGAACTAAGTTTTATTATTATAATTTTATCATTTTCACAATAGAGGCCTTCTTAAACGACGAATAAATTAAAAAAAAATTGTTGAGTTTTTTTGGCGATTAAATTATTACATTAATATTTGTTCGTTGATAAAATCAATATGATGTACCTAAAACGTTATTATAGCACTATAACTAAGCCATTTATGAGTACTGAATGGTCTGGTAGAGGCCTGTAGGCACCTACGCCAGTACCGCTTTTCTGTCGCTTAAGTGCATTTTCTACGGAACTGCTTCAAATATTTTAAAAAGTAATCAGTGTTTTTGAAAGAGAAATATATGCTGCAGATGTTTTATTTCTGCACGTTTTGCTTTATTGTTGGCCGTTTAATTACCAATGACGCTTGATTTGCAACTTGAAAATTTGTTTATTTAAAAAATTGACTTTACTGGTGTTTTATATTGCCTAAGCCAATTATTTTTTAATATTATTTCATGTTTTATTATTCTCTGACTATCCAGGTTAAATAAAAGACCAATTATTGCGAAATTAAGCCAAATGCTGTTTCTCAGTAACCAAAAAAATAACTAAAGTCAAAGTCGTCAGTCCGCCATGTTTGGGCGCCATTTTGGGGCAGTGCGTTCACTTTTATTGTGGGAACATTGTTTATTTTTTTTAATAAACAGTTGCAAGGAATACAATGGTATGCAATTTATAGAATGTGGGGAGGTGCAGGGAAGGGGCTCTGGCCCACCGTGTATCAGACTTTATCGCAACTTCACCATAGCTCCGACTCTCCATAGATAGCTTCATTTCATTCGCCTACTCCGTCTTCATCAGTTTTAAAATAAATTATCAAATTATATTATATGTAGTAATATAATTAATGTTTACCATTTTATTATTTGTTAAGAGGGTCCCACGGAACTCCAAAATCATACTTAGCCACTGTCAGATTTTTTTTTCTTTTATTATTATTTTATAACTATGCAGCTTTTTTATCTGTTAATGCACTAATAAGTATTTTAATGTTCATTACTATAGTATTATTTATTATATGAGACTGATATTTCGACATTCAAAATTTCATCTTGAGATAGTGAAGACTTTTTTAATTTCAAATGTAACCCTTTTCAATTCAAATCTAACCTTTATAGAGTTACATTTGAAATGAAAAAGGTTACAATTGGCTTGTAAATCCTATATATATATAAATTTCGATTATCTCCTACCCCGCCATTTCTTGCTACATAGAAGTGGTTGTTCTAAAGGTTCAACCAAATCTATTCTAACTAGAGTGGGAAGACCAAGATTCATGCCGTTGGCCCACTACGAAATAAATTTCAACTTGCCCGTGCCGTATTGAACCCGCGCACAGTGGGGTTAGCGTGCAGTCCTGTTGGACATTGGGAGAAAAAGCAATAGTTGAAATCTGGAAATTTAACTGCATTAACAATAAACTAATATCGTTTCCCCGTCATACCCAGCAATTTTTAACGTAATTTTCACATTAATAATGCCTTAATATGAGGAAAATTTGACGGAAGAAAGCTTATCTCTTGTATATTTAGAGTTGGTTTGCCTGTATTTTTTTTCTTAAACCTAATGCTTTGTGCTGAGCAGAATTAGATACTTCTAGTGAGTCCAAAGATAGTTGAAACGTTGATTTTTAAAATATATAGAATTGCTACAACACTTCAAACGATTATAAAAAATTTGATTCCATTTCGCAAGTCGCCCGCAATCGTCCAAAAAAAACAGGTTCTGTTGTTAACAAAGGCCTTCTGAATTTCTAAAAACAGTTTTCTGACCTTGCTATAATCTGCCACCTCAGAAGTTATTGAGGATTCTACACGCGGAAATGTTGAACTTGAGGCTACTACTATTATTTTCTTTTTATTTATTTATTTTTTTTATTAGCGTATTCAAGTTATTATTGACTCAGTATTTGACAAAGTAACACTTAATGCACTATATTGACCAAGTTATAAACATATCACTAGTTTAAGACTTCTTTCTGATTTTAATTATTTAATTATATTTTTCAAATCATAAAAACATTTATTTTGTGTAGAGTCCACCAAATGAATAAATATTTGTTACAGATAATAACACTACTATTATCAGAACGTAACAATTATTAATATTATTATTGTATCATGTATAGTAAATACTTATCTTATTTTTTAAGGTGGATGTTGGGGATCAACTAGAAAAAAAACCATCGTTGGAGGATGGGCTTGGGCTTGGTGGCTTGTAACTGATGTACAATATCTTTCATTGGAGGTAAAGTAATTTTATTGTTAATTATCATTAATTCAAATATGTTGATTGTGCATTCATACCTGTTTTAAGAAACCATGAATTTCAAGCCAACGTTTCGACCCAACTTTGCATGTCCTTCTTCAGGACCAGGCCAGAACAAACAAGATGCAAAAGGATATAGAAAAATGTGGAAGCAACATGATATTTAGATAAACATTATAAACAGTGTGGATAAACTTATTAAAATTATAAACAATGTGAATGGAAAGTACATAGAATATTAAGAACAATAAAACTATATAGACAGAGTAAACAAAGTATAACTACCTGTAACAATTATTGTAAATAGGGAAAATTTAATGTAATGATAAAGATGAATATAATCCTACAGATCTCAAGGAAAGATTAGAAGAAAAAGAAAAAAAAAATGTAACTTCCACATTTTTCTATATCTTTTTGTATCTTGTTCGATCTAGCCATGAAGAAGACTTGCAAAGTTGAGTCGAAATGAAATATTTTTTCCACTATTTTACTCTGTTTATGACAGCCACCCCGGATCATCTCTTTCCTCATTACTGATTTACACAAATATAGTTTAAAATTTAAAAAAAAAAAAAAAAAGATCACAGGAAGAAATATATGAATTTTTAAAGCTCATGCAAGTTCTATACATGACTTAATCAACGACAATTATTGAATTACTATGTTATTATTTTAGGTTATGACTTTGAATCCCATGTGTGAAATGGTAGAAACGTCTCAAGGTGTTCCTCTCACAGTTACTGGTGTTGCACAATGTAAGATCATGAAGGCTGATGAATTACTTCAAACTGCTTCTGAACAATTCCTTGGCAAAAGTGTCAAGGAAATCAAATCAACTATTTTGCAAACATTGGAAGGTCATCTACGAGCCATTTTAGGTAATTAATAATTATTATGATATAAAGCATCATCTACCATTTAAGAATAAATTGATTACATTAGTTAAAAAACATAATACGATGCAGTTCAGACGACAGGGAGTGTAACTGTATATTATCTACATTTTTTAAATTCTTCTTCCACTTGGACTGTTTTTATGAAGAAGAGAGCAATAAAATTTTATAGAAGACAGATCATATGCCATCAACCTTGAGGGATGGGCACTCCTGGTTGTGGTGTAATAGGCTTATTAGTTTATTATTCCTGAGTGTGGGTAAAGTATTGTAAATCTATAAGTGACTTTGTTTGCTATGTTAATTAATACATAAGTTCATACTAAAGCCTTTTCTTCAGTAACATGTTTGTCTTTATTATTATTTATTTGTTTCCCTAAAATTTATTTATTGAAAAAAGTAATAAATTAGTATTTTTTTCTATTATATTTTTAAATAACAGTTTTTATATACCTTTGCTAAGAGAAGAAAAAATTACATTCCAGACTATTTTGGTGCCAATGCCACAATTAGTGTATAAATGGTAAATACTGACCTTTTTCGAAATATTAAACTATATAGTTTATATAGACCTATACTGCTAAGGATAAGCTATAACTTATGTGTCTATCATTTGTAACTTAAATACACACACACAGTACTGAACCTAAGACTTTTCATGGGTTTTAGTGGTATAGTTTTTCATTTACAAGTATATATTATTATTTTTTTAATCAGCTTCAAATATTTCATTCCACATATATTTAATAATTAACTTATATGAACTGAATTTATTAAAAAAATGAATAGGGATATTGTTAGTTATGTATGATTTTTTTTCTTAGAATTTTTATTTTATGTTTATTATAAAATACATTGAAAATTAATACAAATATAACATAACTTTTAAGGTTTCTGTGATCTTGTTTTATTATGGTAAATTGTAAAATTTTTATAAAATTTAAGATTTGTTTAATATTCTCTGTTACGCTCTACCTCTCTGTACCTATTGGGTATACTTTTCATAATGTTGTCGCTGATTTCAATAAGTTTATCCCATAAACATGGTAATACTGCTTTCAGTTACTAAAGGCCAAAACGCTGTAGATGGTGGCCAAAGTCTACTCTGCAATTCATCCCACATGTGCTCAATGGCATTGAGATTTAAAGACAATACAGGATTGAATTTTCCAGATTTTCAAGACATTGATGAACAACTTTTCTTATGAGGTCCCCTATTGTTGAAAATATAAATCTGTGCCAATTATGGCTCTTGTTTCAGGAATTTACTCCTCTATAATTTTTTGAACATAATGAACTGCAATGAGATTACACACACAAACTCCTTGGTCTCCTCGGCAAGTCTTTGCCAGGTAGTTCAATATTGTGTTGTTGATGCTGAGTAGGTTGCGGGTGTCTCCGGTAACAGTATCCTCCTATCTGAGCCATGATCTTCCTCTTTCTCTTGCGGGATGGAACCTCTCATCCAGCAGTTTTCTGGCATTTCTTCCTCTGGCATGCATGCAACGTGGCCAGCCCACCACAGTCTTACCAACCTAATAATCCTCATTATGTCAGCCTCGCCATAAAGTTCATAAGTTTTCTTATTATTTCTCTGCCTCCATTCCTCTCCAAACCTTCCAGGTCCAAATATTCGTTGAAGGATTTTTCTTTTGAATATAGAAATTTTTCTTTCCTCATTACTTGTAAAGGTCCAGGTCTCTGATCAATAAGTTAGGATAGGCCTTATAAGAATTTTGTATAAGAGGCACTTAGTACGGTGGGCGAGTAGGAACTTCTCAAGTGCTTTCTGAAAACAAAATAACACCTTTTGGCGTTATTGAGTCACTGACCCGAGGGACACAAGCTCGTCAACGTTCTGGAACATGAATTGGCCCATCACCACGGGATACCGATTCGCTATCTCTGCTCCAGGCCCTGCTCTCATATATTTTGTCTTCTTCTGGTTTACACACATCCACATATCCTCCATAGCCTCCACCAACTTGAGAAAACCTTCTCTTAAGGACTCAAAGGATCTTGCGACAATATCTAACTCATCAGCGAAGCCGACTACCTGAACAAGAAGATGGTGTCAGAGGAATGCTCGAAATGCCCGAATCACATAGGACCTTCTCCAGGGCTAGGTTGCACAATAGGCAGGTGAGGCAATCGCCCTGCCTAACACCTCTGGTAAATACAAATTGTGGAGAGATATTCAACTGAATCCTCACAGTACATGTTGTACCATCCATGGTCATCTTGATCAGCTGAACCAATTTCAAAAGGACTCCAAGTTCTCTTAAAGCTGTATACAAGTTATATCTTTTAATACTATCATAGGCACTCCTGGGGAGCAGTGTAGCTTAGTGGGTAAGCACTAACTTCCAGAGCTCAAGATCCCAGATTCGGATCCGGCTGATGAGTAGCAATTTTTCATCAGCTGTGGATCGGTCCAGGGGTCAGAAGATCCTCTTGGGGCACACCCAGCCTTTATGGATTGGCAACTCTTAATTAATTAAGGGAAAAATTTTATGGTTGAACGTGATCTTGGCCCAATCACCTCCCTGCACAACCGTTGGCCTTGTAACAGTACCTCCTCACATAGTACTGAACCCAAGATGCTTCATGGGTTGTAGTGGAACATGTTTTTTTTTTTTTTTATAGGCACTCCTAAAGTCAACAAAGAGGTGGTGAGTAGTCATCCAATACTCCTGGAACTTCTCGAGTATCATCTGGAGACTGAACATTTGGTCAACTGTAGATCTCACACCTCTGAAACCCACCTGATATTTTCCAATTTCTCTCTCTGCAAATGGGAGAAGTTTCTCATAAATGACAATAGAAAGAACCTTGTAGGCGCACTGTAGAAGTGAAATACCCCAGTAGTTGGAGCATTCCAGGATGTTACCTCTCTTCCACTGTTCCAGCATTTTCTCCTCGATCCACATTATGAGTATGACATTGTGAAGGGTTCTCAAGAACTTCTCACCGCCATGCTTCTGGTGCTCAGCTGGAAACCCGTCTTCACACGGAGCTTTGTTGTTATAAAGCTAATTCACAGCTTTTGTTCTTTCCTTTCTCATCTTTTAGGGGTTTTCCAAGGCCAGGGGGTGAGGATTGGGAATTAATGCTAGAGTTAAAAGTCCCCGCCACCGGGACGTGAACTCGTAATTATTTTACTGTCTTTAACTTTAGTTATCAGATTGCCAGGTAACACGTGGTGCTGTGCCCACCTTATTCACAGCATCCTCTACATCATCATAAATAAATCGGGAATTTCTGCATCTTCATCACTACCATATATCTCCCACTCTTCTAAGTCTCCCCCGATGTCACTCAGCAGACTGTCAAAGTGACGTAACCACCACGCCAGTATTTCATTCTTTTCCGTGGTCATTGATCCATTCTCCTTATATACCCTACCACGTGGTTTGAAGCCGGTCCTATTCTGGTTAATCCTCTGATAAATGATTCTGAACTCCCTTTGATTGATGTATTTCTCCATTTCTTTAAACTGCTTCCACTCCCATTCCCTCTTTCTACGGCAAAGCCTAATTTCCTACGATTAGTCTAAAAACTTCCTCTTTGGCTATTTTTTCATCAAAGTCCCCCATCACGACCTTAATACTACTCCTCGGGCAGCTGTCTAGAGCCACTGAGATTACCTTCCACAGTATGAAGTGGAGTCCGTCCTGAGTAGATGCCAACCCATACCATCACACTCTCACCTCTAAACTGCATTGAAGGAAGCACAAACTGTGGCAGTGTACCCATCCCCTGTTCTCAGAAGACTCTTTGGTGCCTACAATCGCTATAAACATAGAAACGCGACTTTTCCGAAAACTTAACAGCATTCCAGTTTTTATTCTGATCTAAGCACTCGCTGCACCATAATCTGTGGAGTTTCGGGTAACGTACTGTTGCTGTAGGTTGTCTCAAAGGGGCATAACATGTTAAGCCTACTTCTCAGAAATGATTACGAATGGCTTATGTTGATATGGGCCTTGGTAGCACATTTGAACTTCATTTATGCACTGTAAAAGGTGTTCCTTTATTGCAATAATAAAAATATTTCTGCCATATAATGGTGTCGTGATGCACTGAGATCCACTAACAAGTCACCTATTTGGTACTTCCGGTTTCTCTGAATCTGGCTAAAACCTGGGATACCGCACTCTGGGAGGCACCAACTGTGTTAGCGACATGCACTTGCCAGTACCTTTGGATCACTCATTCTCACAATAATATTGAAAAATTCTAGTTCAATATGAAGTCTTTCCATTAAAATTGAGAAAAGTCTAAAATGATTACGGGTTTACAATATGAGTTTTCTTCATGTTGACTTACCTTTAGTTAATAATTTATTAAAAATAAATAATGCTTGTTTACGTTTTAAGTTTACCAAAAAATGAGAAAATCCCCAACAAACAAAAAAAAAGTTTTTTTAATTAAACAAATAAAATAAGAATCTTTCAGAAATATCCCTATTCATATTAATTGTTCAAACTTGGTGTTGATTTTTTTTATGTACCTTTTTTTTCCTTTCAGGAACTTTGACTGTGGAAGAAGTTTATAAAGATAGAGACCAATTTGCTGCCTTAGTAAGAGAAGTAGCAGCTCCTGATGTGGGTCGTATGGGGATTGAAATTCTCTCTTTTACAATTAAAGATGTTTATGATGATGTTCAGTATTTATCATCATTAGGAAAAGCCCAAACTGCAGCAGTTAAGAGAGATGCAGACATTGGTGTAGCCCAAGCTAATCGTGATGCTGGCATTAAAGTAACTATATCTTCATTATCCACGACAGTCAACCAATTACCAATTATAACTAATATTTTGTTAACTGTTTCAGTATTTGTTTTTTTCCTTTGTTAATAAAATAGGTATTGTTTTTTTATTACATAACATCTATCAGTCTTATATTGATTTTGGGGTATCTGTTTCAATCATTTCTTGAAATCATGTTTTTTAAAACCGTAATATTTAAAAAATCCATATCTTTTTGTCTAAAAGATCTCTTGGCCCATAAAAACTATTTGTTCCTTCAGTGATTTTTTTGATAATTTTTTCAGTAACTCTAAACGAGTGACATTATCTACCATAAACATTTTATAAAATGAAAAAATAGTTTCAGAATCATATTAAGAGTCACTAGTCTCAACTTAGGGACTTAATGGCTTAGCTAATGACCACTGCAGCCACAATTCTTCTCATCATGCTGGGCATTTTGTTTAACAAAATTTGCACACTATCATATTACACTTTGATTTTGAAGTGAATGCTGTCATGTTTCAATATTGGATTTGTTCAAGGGTTATAAAAAGACTAAAGCAGTTGCATTATTACATAAACGGCAAAGGTAGGACGTGTGTCAACCAACATACTTGTTTTCTTTTCATATGTCATAGAAATCTTGATTTGTGCTTTATAGATGGTCTTGATGGCACTTTTTAAACTTGTCTCTGTTCTTAATGTACTTCTATTTTCAAATTAATTTCTATTTGTTCAGAGAGAAAAAAATCAATGAACTTATTACAACATGGAAACTAGCATTAGTTTAATTTAACTCAAAGTATTTATTATTTAGTACTTATCATAATTTACCTTTATTAACTTTGTTTATTTCCCATTACTTTTATGTTTAACATATATATTTTTTAAGGAAGCAGAGTGTGAAAAAACAGCCATGGATATTAAGTACAACACTGACACCAAGATAGAAGATAATTCAAGAATGTATAAACTTCAAAAAGCCAATTTTGATAAGGAAATAAACACAGTGGTATGCTATAAATTGGCCTTGCGCTGTTTGATCTAGTAGATGCTATAATGTTATTAGTTTATTATAACAGATTTTTTTCTAAAATGCATTTAAATTGTCTTCCCAGTTTTGTTAGTAGCAACAGGCAATGCAACACAAATCATCAAGTTCATTACATACAAATTATGATAACACGATTTTTTCCATTACCATTGAAATTAAATTGTAATATAATGTTACATAAATTATGTTCTTCTATTTAATGCATATGGTTGTCTATAGAAAGCAGAAGCACAGTTAGCTTATGAATTACAAGCTGCTAAAATAAGGCAAAAAATAAGAAATGAAGAAATACAAATTGAAGTTGTTGAAAGAAGGAAACAAATTGAAGTTGAGGAAGAAGAAGTTATCAGGAAGGAGTTGGAATTGAATGCCACAGTTAGACTTCCAGCTGAAGCTGAAAGTCATCGTCTGCAAACAATTGCAGAAGGAAAAAGGTAGCTACTTATGGTAATTTTTTGACTGACATATAGCCTTAATACTAATATAGTTTCATTTTTATTATATTTTCAATAATAATTGTTTACTTTTTGTGATATTCATAATTCAGATAGTCTGAGTAGAAAAAGATGGATTTTTATTTAATTTTTTTTTTGTTGTTCTGAAGCTTAAGATATCTATATAATCAGTATATTCTTTCCTTTCCTTTGTTTATAATTATTATAAATATGAAATAATTAACACCAGATTAATATTAGGACCTTGAATAGGCTATCCATGTGAATACGGCGGTGGGGCAGGACTTCCTATTTAAGAATTTGCAGATAGGTTTTACATTTGACCAAGAGATGAAAGAATAGCAACCATTTTTCATTTAGGACTCGTTTCAAACACATCAATCATAGTCGATAACAATCCCTCGTGATAGTTTCGTTTAGTTTGATATAAATTATACCATTTTGATCCCACAAAATTCAGAGCAGAAGCTTGAAAAGAGACTGGGCTTACCCCACAATTTTTTAAGCTTAGAATTATCTTACTTTATCCATTTATCATTGCCAGTCATGGTTACAATGCAAAAAGCTTTTTCTTTTCTGTCGGTAAAGCAACAGTTGGCTCATAAGAAAATTTTGTACGATGTCATTTCTTCTGGATCATTCCTAAAGCTTTCAAATGTTTCAAAACTGTTGTCATCTACCAGCAATGATTTTCCAAGTTCAACTTTCATCTGATGTGGGTTTTCATGATGTGATTTCTCCAATTCTTTATCACCAAACTTTTTCAGTGTGCCAGCATTCCTTATCTCCAAGATTAGAACCATTACTTTTAAGCACCAAAACCAGTATCTATATGTAGTACATCCTAGCATGCTCACCTTAAGTCTCAACAAGAATTCTTTGTGCTTTAAATACAGATTTATTTTGAATAAGGTAGTGTAATAAAATTCCATGCAAATACTCTTTACAAATTGTAAAATAAAATTATAAATATTTAAAGGAAGCATTAAAATTATCTTCGTCCTGAAATAAATTATGGTGGAAGTGGTTAGAATTTAAAAGATATGATCCATCAAGTTAAAAATTATAATAAAAATAAAAATAACCCAAAATATATTTTTTTAAATACAGCACTGCTATAACATGGAGTTAAAAAAATGAAACAAAATTATTTTTGATAAATTATTCTATATTAGTTAGGATAAACATAGTTCCATTTGTTACTATAGATAACACAAATTTCAATTTTGAAGATGTAAAAATTGTCTGCTATGAAAAACATATATTTAGAAGAAAATTAGATGAAGCTATAACAATTACAGACAATTTTTAATACACAGTCAATTTCAAAACTGATTTAGGAAATATTGAGCACAACTATACACAACTTTAAAAAAAAACAAAATAAATAATGTTATATTCTGAAAACATAATACAGCTTATGATAAATCTCCATAGAGTGTGCCTAAACATTAGGCAGTATTATGGAACAGTATAAATCATATGTTTTGAATTGATGTAGTGCATTATTTTGATAAGAAAATTAATGTTTCCAAACTATCAACTTCTCTAGAAAAAGAAAATAACAATGTTTAAAAATCACTTACTAAATTTTGATGAAATAAATATTTCATAAAGTATTTAAATAAATTATAGTTTTAATAAGTTTTTTGTTTAAGAAAGCAATTTGTTTAAATAAGTTTTGCATATATACATATATATATATATATATATATATATATATTTTTTTTTTTTTTTTTTTTTTTTCATAAATGTTGTATCCCAAAGTAAATGACTAGCTAAGAAAAGCTGAAATGAAAAGAGAATTTTAAAACAACTCGACTTTGTAAAGAACTTATTATATATTATTACTTAAGGATGTATTGTAATTGAGTAATATGGTGTATGGTGTTTTTGATTGTTTATTTTTAATTTAGAATTTTTGAAAATGGCTAATAAGACCTAACTATAAAAAAATATTTTTCTTGTTAATGGACTTTTTATTTGAGAAATAAGTTTTTGGGAGTATTCATACTATTTTAAACCGTAATATTTTACTATTATTTAAAAAAAAGAATAAAGATCTCACTTATTATGTACAACTAAAATAAAGTTGTTTATCATAATTACTATTTTCATTTGGAAATTATTGTTTGACTACTGCAGCACTTACTAGACAAACGATCTAAGCTTTCAATCAATTATAAACGACTCGTATATATGACAATAATAAGACCTATTTGGACTTACGGAATTGAGCTTTGGGGCTCCACTAAACCATCGAATTCCTCTCGTATCCAATCCTTACAATCCAAAATCCTTCGTAAAATCCTCAACGCTCCTTACTTTGTCACAAATAAAATCATCCATAAAGACCTTAATGTTCCATATGTTTCCGATCTGGCCCAATCCAGATACCTTTCCTTCCATAACAAACTGCAGAATCATCCGAATCCTCTCGTTTCAAACCTTGCTTCATCCTCGATCCCTGATAATCCTCCGAGGCGTCTGAAAAGAAGATGGCCTCGGGATCTTCTAATATAGAACTTTAATTTGAGTTCTACCAATGGGTAGTTTCTCTTCATGTTGTACATGCCATGTTACAAATTTCTCATTTACTTATTGTATTCTCTATGTAATACAGTTGTAAATTCCATTGAAATAAATTAAAAAAAAAAAAAAAAAAATTATTGTTTATTCTTATTTTTAAAACTATGTTTAATAACTGTATTAAAATGTGTTGTATTATATTAAAATTGAAAAACAATTGTTTACACATTTTAAAATAAAATAATAAATGCTTTTAAAAAAGCATTTAAGTTTCCTTCAGGTCCTGAATTCATTATGTTCCATTTACTATTTTATTAGGACTCAAGCTGTTGAAGTTGCAAAAGCTGAAGGTGAAAAAATTAAAAAAATAGGTTTTGCTGAAGCACATGTAATTGAAAGTATTGGTAAAGCTGATGCAGAAAGAATGAAAATGAAAGCATTAGTTTATAAAGAGTATGGAGATGCAGCTATAATGTCCCTGGTTCTCGATGCACTCCCTAAGGTAACACCATGGACTAGATGTCTTTATGTGTTTTAGAATATAACTCTGAGCTTTTCTATTTTTTTATCTCTGAAAGTGAAAAATGATTAGAAAAAATTGAATATAATAAACTTAAGTTTAAACTGATTATAGTATTTTGTGCACACATGTTTATTTGTTAAATTATTGAGTATAATCATAACATAAGTCTAATAACCATTTAAAAAAATTGAATATGGTTCATAAACTGATTGATGTTATAGATTGCAGCTGAAGTAAGTGCACCACTAGCTAAAACAGATGAAATTGTGATGCTTGGAGGCAGTGATCAATTGACGGGAGAAGTAAACAGATTAGTGGGACAGATTCCACCTGCAGTAAATGCATTAACTGGAGTAGATTTGTCAAAGGTAACTGGTGTTTTTAAATTTGTTTATTATTTTATCTACAATTTTCATAATAATAATAATAATAATAATAAACGGGCTTAGCGAACCCGAAGGTTCGATGCCGACACCACCAATCGCTTGTTACACACCTCCCTCCACCGTTCGCCGTCCAAACCCAGTCCCTTCAGATCGGCTTTAATGCAATCTTCCTCCTTCGCTTCGGTCTGCCCCTCGGACGCTTACCATTCGGCACAGCAAATATTAACCTTTCAGGAATTCTCTCGTTACTAAGCCCAACAACTTTACAAGCCCATTTGATTCGCCGCGATGAAATTACCTCAATTATATTACCCGGATACAGCTCACGCAATTCGGCGTTGTGTGACCGTCTGAACTCTCCGGTTAACTCATCCTTCTTCGGTCCGAATATTCTACGCAATACTTTATTTTCAAAAACCTTAAGACACTGCTCATCCCTTAATGTAAGCGGCCAAGTTTCGCATCCGTAAAGAACTGTAGGCAAGATAATTGTTTTATAGATTCTAATTTTTAAGTTCCGGGACAAGAGGCGCGAACTAAGTAGTTTTGTCACAGAAAAAGCATTTCCCGCCTTCAGTCTAACCTTAATCATCTCTTCTTCAATTTCGTTTTTTCTAGTTATCGTAGAACCTAGATACCTAAATTTCTCTTCCTGTTCAAACATATTACCATCTATATCGATATCACCAGTAGTATCGCCATTTTTGCAGCTAACCATATATTTTGTTTTATCCCCGTTTATTTTAAGTCCTAGTTCTTTACCGGCTTTCATTAACGTTGTCGTATTTAGTTTTATAGTTTCAACGTCTTCGCTTAACAGTACCAGATCATCAGCATAGCCCAGCACGGATGTTGTCCCTCCCAGATCCAACCCTTTCTCGGTACGCATTAGCTCCTTAATGTCATATTCTAATGCCAAATTGAACAGGACAGACGAAAGAGAATCCCCCTGTTTTAAACCCGAAGGAACCTCAAATTTTTCGGACAGATTGTTACCGATTTTAACTTTATTAAGTGTCTCCGTCAAGCACATCCTCACTAGATTTACTAGTTTTTTTGGAATCCCCTGCTCGATTAGAATATTATACAGTTTCTGGCGGTCAATAGAATCGTAAGCCTTTTTAAAATCTATATACAGCTGGTGAACAATAACGTTGTACTCCAATTTTTTCTCTAATATTTGCCGTAAAGAAAATATTTTATCAATAGTCGAACGATTCCGTCTAAATCCGCATTGGTAATCTCCGATAATTTCCTCGGCGTATTCCGTGATTCGACTGGTTAAGATTAAAGTAAATACTTTTATAACATACCGGAAGGAGTGAAATTCCTCGATAGTTATTACAATCCGTCCTCGGACCCTTTTTGTGAATCGGAATAAGAATAGATTCTTTCCATTCTTCAGGTAATTTCTCATTCACCCAGATCTTTTTAACCAACCGATGTATTTTAGAAACTCCAGCTTCCCCGAATGCCTTAATTAGTTCAGTAGGAATATTATCGGTTCCCGCTGCTTTATAAGATTTTAATTTTCCGATAGCTACTTCAACTTCCTCTTTACTTGGTCCTTCTATTAACGGTTCAGCACTCTGGTACTCAGAAGGAGGACACAGATCATAATTTCCCGTATTTAAAATATTGTCAAAGTGGTCCTTAAACTTATTCAATATGTCAACCGGATCGGTCAGAATATTGTTATTACCATCCCTAATTCCAGACGTTACGGGCCCTACACATTTACGTGATCTGTTTATACCTTTGTACATGTCTCGTTATTTTCGATTCTATTAGTTTCTATTTCAATTATTTTATTTTTAAGATACTCCCTTTTTTTATTTTTGAGCAATTTTGTCGTTTCGTTCTTTGAGGTTCGGAAGTATTCCAGATTGTCTTCGCTAGGATTATTTAGAGCTTTTAATTTAGCGGCTTTTCTTTTTTCGCACATGTTAAAGCAATCTTCATCAAACCACGGTTTGTTATTCTTATTTTCCTTTTTTCCTAGACACGAGTTACCGACTGCTTTAATAATATCCCTGATCTCTACCCATAACTTTTCAATATCCTCGTGGTCCTCTTCAGGAAGCTCTAAAGCTTCAAACCTATTCTTAACATCTAGCTCGAATTGGGTTCTAATTGATGGATTTTTTAATTTTTCCAAATTAAAATTCTCAAAATCGAAACGGTTTTCTTTTCTCTTTTTTATATTAAGTTTTTGTCGAAGTTTCCCGATTACTAATTCATGATCCGACCCACTTTCTGCTCCACGATAAGACCGTACATTAATTATACTGCTTTGCCAGCTATGTTGTATCAAGACATGATCGATTTGATTTCGTGTTTGCGAATCCGGTGATGTCCAAGTATATTTATGAATATCCTTATGTTTAAACGTCGTACTTTTAATTATCAGGTTTTTCGAGATGGCAAAGTTTATCAGACGGATCCCATTATCATTACTATATTCGTGCAAGCTTTCTTTACCAATCGTCGGAATATAAACTTCTTCCCTTCCTACCTTTGCGTTCGCGTCACCTACAATTATTTTTATGTAGTTTCGCGGTAGTTTATCATAAACCCATTTGAGTTTATCGTAAAATTCACTTTTTACTTCATCGTCACTGTCTTCGGTCGGACAATGTATGTTTATTAATGCGATTTTAAACCAACGTCCCTGAAATATAGCTACCGAAATTCTATCACTAAAGAATTGTACGTCCCTCAAAGCAGATAGTAATCTACTCCTAATTAGAAACCCGGTACCCAAACAATGATTCCCGCTTCCTCCGTACCAAATAGTGTACTTTCCTTCCCTCATCGAGCCCTCCCCTGGCCAGCGAACCTCTTGCAGAGCCACGACATCTAAATTATACCCATTTACCTCATTCGCGACCGATTTTAGCCCCCCTGCTGTGTTTAAACTCCTTACGTTCCACGTACCAATATTTAAATCCCTATATTTCAACTTGCGCCATGAATCCCCTAAAGCAGTCCCCACCCGGAGACTCGAACGGGGGACTAGTTTACCTCCGGATAATGAGCGTTTTACCTTAGGGAGATCCATGACTATTTGTGGTGTTTGGTGAACTAAAGATATGTGAGTAGGGCGTTCAATCCTACGTCACACCCTCCAGCAAGTCTGGTGGGCCCCTACCTCCAGCAAGTCTGGAGGTCCCCTCCCTCCAGCAAGTCTGGAGGGCCCCTCTCAATGTTTGTCAACGAGTCCATCGGACTTAGCCGGGAGGAACTTCCAAGGAATTTCCACCGACCATCCCCACATCTGCCACCCGTGGGATGCTCCCCATACGGTAATGAGCCCGTGCGAGGATCTACAATTTTCATATTTATCTTAAATAGTTGAATCTATTGGATTGGATATTTGATAGTTACATTCATTAATAACTATCTTATAAAATACAAACAGATTAATAGGCATCCTGTTTCCCTCTTTTCCAACTTTCAAAAGCATTGGAACACCTTTTCTAAAATCAACTTTCCAACTTCCTTGAGGAACACCTCCAACGTTCCCTCATCAACCCATTCCAATCTGGCTTTCGATCAACTCAATCCGGCCTCCTTAAAATAACCCATGGCCTACAAAACTCCATTGAACACTAAAACCTTACTATCCTCATCCTTCTAGATTTTTCCAAAGCGTTTGACCTAGTTGACTATTACATTCTCTTTACTAAATTGCAAAATCTTCCTCTATCTAATAGTGCCCTGGGTTAGTTCAAATCCTTTCTTTCAGACCTATCCCAGTATGTAGTTGTCCCAGGTCAACATCCTTCTAAGACACTTCCCTTCTCCTGTGGTGTACTTCAAGGTTCCTCTCTATCCTCTACTCTGTTTGCTATTTACATTAATGACATTCTCCTCCTGATTCATCACTCCCAATACCACATCTATGCAGACGATTTCCAAATATACCTGTCCTTCCTGCCTTCTGACCTATTGCTAGCTACAAAAAAACTTCAAGAAGATTTAAATAGAATTTGTGACTGGGCAGGAGCTAACAAGCTGACGTTGTATGCGGAGAAGAGGAAGGCAATCTTAGTATACTTCAATCACCTCCTTAAAACTGTTCCTAATATTCCAACTCTGTTCCTATATGATAATCCCATAAAATTTTATCCCACCATTGAGAATCTAGGAATAACCTTTGATCATACCCTTTCCTGGAAAAACCATATATCTATTGTCTCCCACCATACCTTTTTTACCTTAATACGTCTGTCACCTATTTCCATTTGAAATCCAGAGGCTCCTAGTCATGTACTTAATATTTCTCCACTTTGATTATTGCTGTACAGTATATGTGGCGTCTCTAGGTATCTCGAAGCAGACTAAAACGTTTGATAAATTTGCTTTGTACGATTCATCTTCGTAGTCCCAAAGGATGCCTCTGTTTCCCGTTTTTGCAAAGAGTTGAAGTGGCTTTATCCTTTCTAACTTCAGATCTATATACTATAGCCCACCCAACTGCTGCTTTTATCAGATCGTTCATTATCCGATCCTCGTCCCTGTGGTTCTCCAACCCTTCCCACATCCATTGCTCCAATACCCTCCCTACCTTTAAATCCCGCTTATTTAACAATTTTTCATCCTTCCAGTCCCCATAAAAATTTAAATAGACATTACTGTAAATATGTATATAAATTATTAGATCATTCTTAATTATTTTTACTTACGTTTTATAATTTTCTTTCTTTATTTTTTTTTATTAATTGATCAAAGCCAGAAAGTAACTGATACTTTTTTATTATGATTGTTTATTTACTTGGTGTACTAGTTTCTGTACTTTTGTATTATTCTAAAGAGACTTGTCCAAAGAATAAATAAAGTATTATTGTTGTATTTTTTTATTTTTTCATTTCTCTGCTTTATGCTGGATAAATACACTTACCTGGGCCGAGATCAAGGGTACAGTTTATTGAATATTTAATTTGAAATGTTTCTTTTCTTTTTTTTTTTTTTCCTATGCC